AAGATCTGACAAAACAAATAGAAAGAGTAATTTGTCCACAGCCCAAAAGTGCTAAAAAAATGACACTTAATTCCTAACTTGATCAGTTATATTTTTTTTTTTTTCCTACAAAACAATTGCATTTAAATCACAAAATTGCTGTTTGATCTACCGATTAAGCCCAGAATTCTTTGCACAAAAAGGATTTATCACCAAGTAGACAAGAGTCTCATTCTTTTCCATATCCTTTGTCTTGAAATCTTATTTGTTGATCTTTAATTACCTTGATGATGACAGGGCACAAGGAAATCGATCCCAAGTCTTTATCAATAGGCAATGCATGCCCACATTTACCCCCACTGGACAAAGAGTCTCATTGTTTTCTATTTATGCCAGAGTGCTATTTCTTGTTAATGAGCTCATGAGCATTCCAAGCAATCAAATGGCCATATATTGAAAAGATTTTGTAACCTTTGCATATAATAGATGGAATTTCTTTTATATACACACAGACACACACACACACACATATATATATTGTAGTTGTTTGTGAGCCTTTGTGCTGAGAGGTTTCAGTTCGAAACATTCCAAGTATATAAATTTTTATATTAATTGATTGAGTTCGTGGCTGTTGTGCTCCCAGAATTGATTACAATTTGAACGCTTTTTCCTCCTATAGATGTAGCTATTGGAAGTGCTGGCGTCATTATGATTGGGTTGATGGTTATTCTATTGCGGAACAAACAAAGAATAAAGCAGACATATGTGCAGGAACAGTGGCCTCAGTAAGATTTGAACTGATCAGGCAAAGTTGTTCAAAGTCAAATTCTTCACCAAAAAACATGATTGAGAAATGGGGTAGTTCAGAAGTCAAATGATAAGGCAAGGTTATTTAGCGTTTGATCCCTAAGCTTTTTTTGCCTTATTCATGATGGTCCATATACTCCAAGTTTTGCTGCTTTTGAAGAATCGCTGCATGTTAGCCCTTATCCTTGTACCCTTTCAAGTCAAGAAATATGCGATCCACCAGAATCACTATTTGATGAATATTCATATTAAACATGAAGACAGTGCAAAATTTTCGTATTCATGCTACTGCCCCATGTTTTTTAATTCGTTAAAACTAACTTCTTTGAGTGTTTTGTTTTGAAATGATGAAATCTATCCAACATTTTTAAGTTTCTTTCCTCTAGTTATATGGATAAAAGTTTACGCGGTGTTTGGTTCTTTGGAGCAATGAGGAATCTACTACTAATTTGAGCATTTGGTCTACTGTCCATATTAAATTATCGTAATTATTGATTTTGGAAATGTTTATTGATTCGTATGGTGCGAGAATCAAGTGATAAGGAGGTCGATTTGAAGCAAAGTCTCAACAACGTCGATCAAGGGGCAGTTTGGGAAAAAAAGAAGTTAGAAAGCTTTAGAAGGACTCTCTATAAGCCAGGAAAGTTCAAATTGTAGTTTGAAAAAAATCCAAGTTTACTTATTATAGGTTCTTTACTTGCAATGGCAGCTTTTGGGAGGGAGTAAATATTTTTAAGCAAAACTTGTTTCAAACCAAAATGATTTGAGAAAACAATATTTTGTGATATACTACCTCCGGTCCTAATTATAAGACCTAGTTGACTTATTTGAGAAGATTAAGGAAGTAAGTTAAGTTAGTTATTTGTAATAAATAAGTGTTGTCATTCCTAAAATATCCTTGCTAATTAAGTGTATTGGCTAGAACTATCATTATTAGAAGGATTATTTTGAAAAAAAATGCATAAATATGAGAGACAAAATGGATTAGGGTCTTATAATTAGGACCAAACAAAAAGTCAAACGGGGTCTTATAATAAGGACCGGAGGTAGTAATATGTTTGTATAAAAGGGTTTAGAGTACTTTAGAGGCCAAGGTTTTCAAAATTGACATGAATAAATGATTATTACCATATATATGTGTGTGTTTTTCTCAAATTTAGTTTAGATATTGAACTTGACTAATTCTTTATCCAATGAATTAGGAAATATTTATATTGTAAGTAAATGAATAACAAGAGATATTAAATCGAGGGAATCACTTCTATCAAATTCTTATTCATTTACCAAGCTTATTTCACAAAAATACACTACAAAAAAACAGGTTATTATTGACAGAAAATTATTCCATCACTAACTTCTGAAGGATTACAAATAGAAATTTGGTCGCTAAATTTAGCGACGAAATTTTTTCCATCGCTTATATTAGAGATGGATTAGTGACGGAATTTCTATCCGTCACTAATCCATCGAAAAATCTGTTAATAAATATTTAGCGACTGAATTATGAACGGAATTTTTTTCGTCAGAAATTCCGTCGCTAAATTGTTTGTCACAGAAGTTTTTGTCACTAATTTTGTTGCAATTTCATCGCTAATTCATCACTAATTTTAAATTTCATTGTTTTAGATTATAATCTTGCAACAATTTATATAATAACAATTAAAAATATAATGATTTAAAAAAATTTTAATTATAAATAAATTGACATACTTGTGGCTCTGGTGTTGATAAAGATATCGTCATCATTCATGTTATCAATAGGTATATACTGAAAATAGGAAGACAATTTCTTAGAAAACTTGTTTATATTTCGTTAAAATAAGCTCCTCTTGATTATTAATAATAATTAAAAAATATAATAAGAATATTAATAACTTTCTTATACAAACTGATATAAGAAAAAAAATAATTTTATCATAAGTACAATATGTTGGCGGTAGCACCTGTAAAATAGATAGTTAATCCGAGTCATGTCCTAAGGATATTGTCCTTAAGAGCTATTCCGCAACCACTGATAGATAAGGATGCGGCACTTCCTAAGATTAAATAGATCCTTCCTGTAAAACAGGGTGAGCAGAACAGCAGAAGATAGTAGTAAACTCAACAAGTAAGAGAGTACACAAGAGGAGGAAGAGAGGAACTCGAAAACTCTAGAGCTATGTATAAAACCTTAGACTGAAATATCTTTTTATAGGCCTCATTTTTGGAACGTTGGCAGCCTCTTAATCACATTAAACTGTCAGGTTTTATACATTGAATGCATGCAATCAAGTATTGCAATATTATGAACGTTGAAGTAAATGGTAAATCCGTTTAATCTTTCAAAACCATTGTTTAATGTTTAGTCGGTTAATGCATTGAATGGACCGCATTCAAAATTGCTTCAACACATTTAAATGGCAGGAAGAAACCATTTAGTACTTTAATAGTTGTTATTGCATAATAAAAGATCACCGTTTGATGTTTAAAATCTTCCACCGTTTCATTTTTAAAATCTTCAACGTATTTAAGTGATAAATACCTATTAAGAATTTTCAAACATTCCATCTTTAAGGCATTGAAAATCCATTTATGACATTAAAACTCTTTAACATTTGATTTTCCTATTCTTAATAATAATAAGAAAACCTGTCCACCATTAATGCTCAATTTGTTTTTATGTTCCCACATTCCCAATTAATGTAGGATCCTTTCTTTGACAAACCACAAAAATATTACAACACAATATATTGAAAGATATAATATATGATGGAAATTCAAAGCCGAAAAATGAATTTATATGAACACAAACTAATATTGAAGTGAATTTTGAAATTCAATCATTAAACAATAAAATTTAATCATGATATAATTAATAGCCATGATATAGATTGATTTTGGTCTTCAATACAAACAAAAAAAAGATATATGCAAAGAATTTTAAGAAAATAAATTATATAAGATACATAAATAAGTAGAAGAATATTGTTTATTATAATCTATTCAAATCATTTAATTTTTTATATAGAATAATTTGTTACATTTTATTATAGTAGTTATTTTTTGAATAATTAATTATGAATCGTATGAATAATTTTTCGCGCTTCATTTCATGCAATGCATATGATTCCCTCTTTGGTGCTTCATTAATTCCTTTACCATTCGACATCATTTACACTCGCTTTTTGTTTTTGGCGATTCATTCTTATTATCCTTTTGAAACCTTGATACTCATATTAGCGTGGTAATTACCATTATGCGAGAAATTCTTTCATCAAGCATAACGAACTTACGAATTTTATGTCATACTTTTTCTATTTTTCATACTTATTAGACTTAAATTTATATAATATATATTGTTATTTCCAGTTATTTCTTTGATTTATTTTCCATAAACTGATCTTATTTATTTGACGATATTTGGACAACTATGGACATGACCTAATGTATATATTAATCAAGTTCAAGAGCCTGTGATGAAGCACATTTTGTTGAAATTAAAGAAATAGACATGTGTTCTCATTCACTTTCTTCATGGCTGATTTTAACGTGCATAAATATATTTGAATATTTTTTAAAGAGATGGTTTGACTCTTATAATAATGTAGGCCAATTGGCTTATGGTCAAACAGTCCTTCTAACTTGGAACTCCAAGTCAACCGCCGTATCCCATGCCCAACGTTCTCCATGTTTGTACCGTAAATGACTAATCGACACGCTTCATTTCCTACAGAATAAAACCATGAACTAAGTCATTACTTGAAACGCTCTCATTAATTGATGAGACGCCAAGTTCAGTTTTTGTTCTGTAAATGAGTGAGGATTTCAGAAGAATTGGCTGTGCCTGTTTATTTTTGTTGGTCTTCTTCTTCTTCTTGTTGCTTTCAGACCATGTGCTTCCTCTCTCTTCTGCTTCTGGAGATTGTCCATATTCCTTTGACTGTGGAAATCTGGGCAAGCTCAGTTTCCCTTTCACCACTCCAAAACACAACAAGTGTGGAATATTGGCCATTCGAGGTTTTGAAGACCCTTATCCCAACAAAATTAAAACTGTCCAGTTCAGTGGAAAGGAGTTTCAAGTGAGGAGTGTTGATCGCTTTCATAAAATTAGAGTTATCCTCAGAGACACAGCTTTACAAAATTATTTGGAAAAAGATGACTGCCATGCCTTGTGCTGCAATATTACTCTTCCACCCAGCTCAGCGTTGGGTTCCTTTGACATCCCAAGTATAACCATGTACAAATGTAATAGTTTTCTCGATCACGGGCTTTCAAAGCAGTTCTTGAACTATACAGGATGTGTTAAGAGTAATAATGAGACCATCTTTTTCGAAACGCAAGATCAAGACGATCCTCCACTTTCTTTAGCAACATATTCAAGGGTTCAGCTTCCAGTGAATAAGCTGGCTTTCTCTGCCGATCCCTTTACATTCATAGCCCCTGAATTCATTGTTAGCATTCAACTCTCTCAAGACTGTTTTCGATGTTTTGATCACAATAAAGGCCTATGCCATATCAACAGCACCGAAGGATTTTATTGTTCCAAATTTAAAGATATGCATATTAACTATAAACGTAACTCTGCTTATTTCATTTTCTTTCTGTTCTAATCTAATGAGCCCCAATACTAATTAGTCCATTTAATTTTTGCCGCTGAATCCTGATAACTACTCGAGATGATCAGGAAAAAGATGGCCTTTGATGCTGGGATTGATCATAGGTAATTTACTTCATATTTTCTGTTTTCATTTTCAGCTATCTGCTTTCCAAGATAATTATTTAGAAGCCTGTATTACTACATATATTACTATAGGTTGTTATCAAGTTGTAAAATGTATTCACATTATGAGGTTCCCAAGAAACGATAAGCAGAATCTTCAGGTGAAAATTCTAGGCCAACATTCCGTTTTCAAAAGGCAGAGATTTAAGAATTGATTTTGGACAGGTAGTTTTGGGGTCATTGTACTAGCGTTGGTGCTCCTTTTCTGGCACCACAAACAAAAACAGAAACATGTCAGGCTACGATCAGCGAGTCAATACCCAAATGATGCAGATCCAGATAGTGGCAGAGTCTTCTTCGGAGTCCCAATCTTCTCCTACGTGGAGCTTCAAGGGGCAACCAAGAACTTTGACTCCTCCAACAAACTTGGAGATGGAGGATTCGGCTCTGTTTACTATGGTCATCTTATGAATCACTCTCATTTGTTTTAGTGTAATCTTGTATTTTGCTTCATAAAGTTTTGAACTTTAAGCTATTTCATTTTATTTATAGGGAAGTTTCAAGATGGGCGTGAAGTTGCAGTGAAACACTTATTCAACCACAACTACAAGCCAGTGGAACAGTTCATGACCGAAGTTGAGATCCTCACTCGCCTACCTCATAGAAATCTTGTCTGCCTCTATGGCTGCACTTCACGTCAGAGCCATGAGCTCCTTCTTGTCTATAAATACATCCCAAATGGCACCCTTGCCAGTCACCTACGTGGCAGCTCAACAAATCCTGCATTGCTGACATGGCCTATTCGAATCAAAATCGCTATAGAGACTACCAGTGCTTTGGCTTACCTTCATGCTTCCAGCATCATCCACCGTAATGCAAAACCGACAACATTCTCCTTGACAAGAATTTTTGTGTTAAGGTTGCAAGTTTTGGACTATCTAGATTGTTCCCAGATAATGTGTCATATGTTTCAACAGCACCACAAGGAACACCAGGCTATATTGATCCCCAGTATCACTTTTGCTTTAGGCTAACAAACAAAAGTGATGTGTATATTTTTGGGGTTGTGCTTATAGAGTTGGTATCTTCAATGGTAGCAGTTGATATGGGAAGGAACAGAGATGAGATTACACTGGGGAGTCTTGCAGTTCGGAAGACTCAAAGGAATATAATGAATTTGAGGATCTGGTGGATCTTTGGGGATTGAGAAGGATAATGAGGTGAAGAAAAAGGTGGTTGCAATGGGAGAATTGACATTTCAATGTTTGCAGATAGATAAGGAGACGAGGCCCTCCATTGATGAGGTTTTAGAGATTTTAATGAAAATTGAGAATGGGAACAAAGAAGACAAGAATGCGGGGGGAAATGGTGATGGTGGTGAAAGTTCAAAAAATAAAGCAGATATACATGCAAGACCAGTGACTTCACTAAGCTTTGATCAGGCAAAGTTGCTCAAGTCAGCAACTTCACAAAACGATGCGATTGAGAGATGGGGAAAGGGAGAAGTTGATCAGGCAAAGTTGTTTAGCATCTAATCTCTAAGCTTGTCTATAATTCATGGTCCCTGGTCCATGTTTTGCTGCATTGGAAGCATCGTTGCATGTTATTCCTCATCCTTACCCTTTCAAGCCAAGAATTAAGTGATTGACCATGAATATTTATATTAAACATGAACACAGTACAAAATTTTTGTATTCATGCTACTATTCAACATTTTAAATTATCTTTCTTTCAGCTTTACACATCAAAATTTACGCAGTGTTTG